GGGCATATAAAATCTAAAATTAACAAATTAAACCACTAAAAACGAAACAAAGGGCTTATAAAATCTAAAACTAAGAAATTAAACCACTAGAAGTGAGAAATACAAGTTTCAAAAGCTTTTGATATTTTAGGTCAAATCATCTTCTCAGTTCGTCAACTATTTAACGAAAATACAAACGAAACTTCCAAACCTGCCATGGGAACTCTCCTTTCTCAGCATTCTCTCCTCCGACGATTCGGACAGTAAAGGGGTCATCGGCGAACTTACTAACACCACATTCTGGAAAAGTTAAGAAAAAAAAATGATGATCTCGTCCATTCTTTATAAACAATTCATACTCGATAGTCCTAAGAAACACCACTTCATCCACTGATTTAATTGAACAAAACATAATTTAAAAAGTTTGAAATTCCTTACGTTTTGTAAGTCCCACAAAATATAGTGAAAACAAAATCCTCCAGAACTGGCTCGACAGCGACATTTCTAACACATCGACTCAACCAAGTTATTCAAGATATAGAACTTCTCTTTTATAGTCTCTAACAAGTGCCCTTGAACCTACCTTGACCTTGAGGTATAGTAGAGCATCTCTTGAATGTGGCTACTCAAGGGATCCGAAGTTACACGCCCCGAGTTCTTAATGAGATAAAAAAAACAAAAAACTTGCTATACCTTGGCCTTGAGCAGCCGGTTTAGAGTTTTACAGTAGTAGTAGTGTTAATAGTTTACACCGGGCAGAGATAAGTTGGTTAATGTTTATATTTTCCTACAGCACGGAAGCCAATCCTCTTGGTGTGTATTTCCCATCCCCATCTATAAAGGTATCAGTTTTTGTTCTTATTCTCACTCTTGTAGACGCTTCATGTATTCCGAATCGAAACACAAGCTACAAAGGAAAAAAGCTGGTTCCTCTTGTGACAGGATCTTAATTAATCCTGCGTACTTGTGACAGGTTTAAAACTTTAAACAACAATCAAATATCGTTGTTCTAAAGAAGTATTTCATGAAATATTTTCAGTTAATGTTAACATGCAGTTGTTGGGTTATATCAGAT